ACGACTACAGCCTCATCTCCCGTCTAATAGCCATGAGATTAAGAGTGTGATCCGAGAGTTTTTGTATTCTTTTGCGACGGATCTTACAGAACTTAGCTCCGACCGCATGGGCACTTTCCACAGGCTTGTCATTTATATCGTCCACTTTATTGTGGTTTTCTAGGCACTGAAAATGATTTTGTATCCCGAGATGAAAGTTTTCGGGGCTTTGGAGGACGGAGCTTTGACTTCGTAAGACGTGACCTCCCCAACTTCACGTTTAGATTCAGTGTGCCTTTCACCATTCGGTGATCGCTGCCAGTTTTAACTCCTGCGATCACTGAGACATCGCTGAACAGTTGTCGCCTCATTTTTTGTCATAATGAAGTCAATCTTATTTTTTGTCGAACCATCAGGACTCAACTAGGTCCACTTTCTGTAGAGTCGCTTTTGAAAGAAACAGTTCACATAATGATTTCTTATATTTACGCGAACACTACGCATTGAAATATTACTAGTTTTTACGGATTTTATCGCGTATATTTAACTATCAATACCCGACGTTTCGAGCGCTTACAGCACCCATAGTCACGAGGGGACTGAGATGTTCAACGTCCAAATGTCATAGTTAACAGCGTTTAACATAGATAAAAATTTAACTTTTGTTCCGATCTACACAGTATAAACTTATGGTATCTTGAAGTCTTGCAGTTGTATGCTTGGGTTGGGATTTAATTTTATTTATTATAGGATCCCAAGCAGATGGTAGCACCCAGCCATCTTCTCTATTGAAATTAGGATTTTTGATTTCAATAGCCTCGCAAATCATCCTTGGAAGGAATCGGTGTTCTTTAGCGAGGATTTGTGGTCTATCAAATCTGATGTGTGACGGGGGCGATCCTGTACGTGTTCACAGACTGCAGACTTCCCGGAGCGTCGATTCTTCACATCAGCTATATGTTCTTTAACGCGGGTTTTAATTGATCATTTAGTTTGTCCTATGTAGGAGAGACCACACTCACAATCAAGCTTGTACACTCCTGCATCTTGCAGAGGGACGTTACACTTGACTGATGGTAAAAACTGACTCTCTTCGGCGGATTGAAGTATGTTTTGATGGAACCGCGCTTCAAGATGTAGCCAATCTTGTCAGTGACTCCTCTAACATATGGCAGTACAGCAGGTACACGCTCGACTGTGGCCGGCTTCACTCGTTCACTGTGACGTAGGCGCGGGACCTGAAGCGTGTTGTCATGCAAAACTTGCTTGACATGGTGGAGCTCGGCAGCCAGGTGTTTACTGTCACAGATCCCTCGTGCTCTCTGAAACAAAGATTTTCCCACGGTAGCTAACTGTGAAGGATGGTGGTGAGAATCACCGTTTAAATATCTATCTGTATGGGTCTTTTTTCTATACACAGTATGGCTCAAGGTGTTATCAGGATTCCGAATTACTAACACATCTAGAAAAGCTAAGGAATTGTTTGCCTCTAACTCCATTGTGAACTGAATTTTAGAATTTATAGAGTTGAGATGGTCTAAAAATGCAGTTACTTTATCTAAAGGTAGAATTGTGAAAGTGTACGTACCGCTTGTAGAATCTTGGATTTATGGGATAAGTAGGCAGGGCTTTCTTGTCAAAGTATTCCATGAATATGTCGGCGACAATGGGAGATATAGGTGAGCCCATCGCCACACCATCTACTTGCTTGTAGAACTCCTCCTTCCACAATAGGTAGCCAGATGTAAGGCAGTGTCTGAGTAATACTGCATATTCTACAGGCATGTTGTTTTCTTCCAGCCTTCTAGTTACAATTGAGATGCAGTCTTCAACATGTAAGCATGTAAACAACGACATTGTCTACCAGATGTAGGTCTTTAATCTCGCTGACAAAATGGTAGGAATCCTTTATGTGTGCTCTTGTATGTCCCCTGAGCGGGGAAAGTATTTTCGCTAAGTTTTGAGCCAGTCTGTAAGTCGGTAAATCGATTTGGCTCACTATGGGACGTAATGGAGCATTGGGCTTGTATATTTTTGGTAACCCATACAACTTTGGTGATTTGGCGCACGTAGGTATTATCATTTTACGTCCAGATTTAATTTTGTACTTTATGAGGTCACTAGTTGTTTTTAGTGTGCTATTTGTTGGGTCGTTTCTAACCTTTTTATAAGTGCTTACATCCGACAAAAGTTCTTGCAGTTTAGAATTATAATCTGACGTATCCATGATTACCGTGGCGTTTCCCTTATCTGCGCGGAGAATTGTGAGTTCTGGTTTATTGCGTAGGTTCTTTAACGCTATAAATTCGTCTTTGGGAAGATTAGGTTTAGGCACTGAACATCGACGTAACATAGACGAAATGTCTTGACGTATTGCCTCCAAATCTTCTTTCCGCCTGTTGTTATTAAATAAACAGTCCTCGACACTACAGATAATTTCTTCGTACGGTAATCTGCGTGGTGTTACTGCAAAGTTGAGGCCTTTGGATAAAACCTTAATTGTTGCAGAATGCAGAAACAGTTCATCATAAAGAGACCCCTTGGGTTTCGTTGCCCCTTGGGTTTCGTTGCCGCTTTTAATATACTTTCTAATATCCAGTTTTTTACGTTTTATATCTCGTAAATTTATTGTAGCAGTGAATAATTTTCTTCTATTTTCTTGCGTTAATCCATGGTCTTTATCATAGAGGACAAAGGAGTATAAAGAAACTGCATGAAAAATGTAGATTCCTACAAGTTGCTCTACGTGGTTTAAATAAATTACACTCGCATATTTTATAAAGAGGCGAAACTTGTTATCGTTTGTAGCGGAAACTTATAAAAACTTACGAAAAGTTCATGAAATAAACACAGTTTTAACTTGAATATCAGAATATATCACAACTTCAACTTATAAATATGAATAGGGTATTTAAAAATAGCAATAATGCTTTTAAAAAGACTAATACAAAGTAAAGTAACGTTAGAGCCTATATACGTCCCACTACTGAACACAGGCCTCCCCTCATTTCTGAGAGGGTTTTAGGGCAAGGATGTGTCCGCCGCGCAGCCGCAATGCGTGTCGGCGAACTTCATATGTCTTCGAAATATTTTTTTCCTTATTCCTCAGACATGCAGGTTTCCTCACGATGTTTTCCTTCACCGCCGAGCACGTGATAAATCAGCATTTAAAATTGCAATTAACAATTTCATTGGTGCCGGCGGGGATCGAACGCGGGTTACTCGCGGTCTGTTATGTTTACAGCGAGCGTTAACCATCTGAGCTACCACGGCCCACTATAAAGTAGAGTCGGCACCAATATGCAATAAGTACAGTTGGTCAAACTAGTTTAAAAACACTTAGAAATTGAGCACAAATAAACATCGTAAATATATACTAACTTTGCCGTGTTGTGGGAGCGTTTGGTCCCATGTCTTTCGTGCGAGGAAAATGCTGGAAATATCTAATTGGTTCCGATTAATATTGGTATACCAAATTAATTACGGTAGACATAAGACATAGGTCGGACCGACGAGAGTCAGTAGCGTCAAAGGTGGAAGAAGAAAAAAAAAGACACCACTGGTAGCACTGGTTCTTTTCTCTCTCAAATGCATTGTTGCTGAGTAACCATTCACCGAATAAACGCAGCCGGTGTTCTTTACACTATATGGCAAAGAGTAGAGGTAGCGAATATGATAATTTGCTATTAATATTTTATATTGTGTTAGAGATCTGCCCCTGCTTCGCATGATATGACGGATTAATAATTTAATGTTTCAAGTAAAATTAATTCATAATAAAAAGTCGAAGATGTCTAAAAATGAAAAAGACATCTACGTTAGTAACGACTTATAAAATCCAACGGATGCAAAGTAAGCAGTTTCAATTTTCATGAAGCCACGCTTCGGGGAGCCAAGTCTGTCTTTATAAAGATCCATTTCGATTACTAAGAGTCTCCAAATTGACCGCGACGTTAAAGAACCTTGGCTGCGTGGCATTTCTTCGATACCTTTATAAAGTATCAAATGCTCAATACCTTTATAAAACTAAGTATCAAATATCAAATGTAAAAATAAAAAAACATATATATTTTTACGTAACATGAACCTGTACATTGTAAGTAAATTCACTTTCTCATATTATTATCGTAATAGTTGATTTAATTTTTCAATTCTTATACTTTGAATATGGTCTGAATTTTTTAATTATTTATTTCAGAGTTAATTTTTTTTACCGAAATGACGTGTCACATGTGTAATTTAGGTTGTCGTATCGATTCTTATTAAATTCGATTCTTATTAATACTAAAGACAACTTATCGTTAATAATGAGAGCATGTCCATTGATTGATGAGAGATTGTCATTCTGTGGGTATCATAACAGATGACCAAGGTCAACGTAACGGAACAAAATACTGAGGTTTAGTTGGGTTGGCAACTAAAGCGCAGTTTTTACATATTATGTCGCCCTACGAAACATTCTGTTGAGGCGGCCTATGTCGACCTATGTATTATAATAGCCTTTTACTAGTCCCATTGTTGAACATAGCCTTTCCCCAAGTAATGCCACAAAACATGGCACTGGACCTGCATCTATCGACTTTCTACATGTCTTATTTGGTTGTCACTCCATCTAGCGGGGGTGCCTTATGGCCCGGCTACACGCCCCGTCTTGCCTGTGAGCATGCCTGCACAAACCAGTTTGCATAGGTAAGCGCGTGCATGTGGACGGTAAGACGGTGTCTCGCGCAGGCGACCTGCTTAATCGTCGACGTGCTGAAGATTGGACTGCGCGGGCTTGGCTTGCACGGTTTTGCCTGCGAGCTTACTTGAGCGTGTGGCCGGTTATTCAAGCCGCGCCTCAGTCCGTCTAAATTATTGTTGACGACACATGTTACACACACAGGACGCGAATTAAGAAAACTATTGATAGCGCATACCTGAACTATCAAAATCGTGTGCAAAGTAACTTGACAAAAGATCCTAAGTCTTTTTTGGGATCATATTAGGGCGAAAAAAGGACCGTTAAACGTAAACAAATATTGAAAGATGGAGTAACATTGTCAGATCAAGAAAGTGCGACTAAATTTGCCAAATACTTCTATTCAGTGTACAACAGCGAGCCAGCGCGTTTGAACTTAGACGAGGCGGTGTTGGCGGGCGGTGCGGGCAGCGCGCGCGTGCACGTGCCGCAACTGCAGCTAGGTGAGGTGCGCGCGGCGCTCGCCCGACTCAAGCCGAAGCGCTCGGCGGGCCCGGACGGTATACCGGCGTTTGTAATACGAGACTGCCGCTCAGTGCTGGCAGAACCGTTATTAAGGGAGGTAACAAACCTACAGTTGAATCCTTCAGACCAGTGGCGATTCTCTCAGCACCTGCGAAGGTGTTTGAGGGAGCCATTCAGCGAAGTGTACAGGAACAAGTTGCACCGCAATTATCGGACGCCCAGCACGGCTTCCGGCTAGAGAGGAGCACAACTAGTAACCTCTTAAATGCCATGACGTATTTGGTTCCTCATGTTGATGCAGGGTTGCAGGTCAATGCCGCCTACTTTGATTTTAGGAAGGCGTTCGACTTGGTAGATAACGATATCCTACTGTCAAAGATGGCGAAAGCTGGCTGCACACCTAAACTGCTTCATTTTTTTGCAAGTTACATGAGAGATAGAAAACAGTATGTGGAGTATGGCGGGTACGGGTCGGAGCCTTATTTTACTAGGTCTGGTGTGAGTCAAGGCAGTAATTTAGGGCCGTTAGAGTTCAACATAATGATTAATGATCTACCCGAAGTAGTAAGAGAGGCTAAATGTCTGTTATTTGCAGACGGCCTAAAGTTGCTTTTAGCCATCAAGAGTGAGGATGATTGTCGGCACCTTCAGCAAGATATCGACCAAGTAGTTGAATGGAGCCATAAAAATAAACTGCAGTTTAATATTTCAAAATGCTCTATTCTATCATTTAGTCGTGCAAGGGCACCACTCCATTACAACTATAAGGTGAATGGCGAGCTAATGAAGAGGGAGGAATCAGTCCGGGATCTTGGAGTCCAGATGGATGTCATATTGACATTCCGGGAGCACATCATGAATATATGTAAGAAAGCTTATAAACGACTAGGGTTTATCATTCGCAGAGCAGTAAAATTTACCAACATTAAAGCAATCTCAGTGCTGTATGATGCTCTAGTAAGGAGTCAGCTGGAGTGTAACTCAGCAATATGGGCTCCACATGAAAATAAATACAATCTTATGCTGGAGCGCATTCAGAATAAATTCACGCGATTTATATATCATAAGCTTTATAGGGTTTATCCATCCTACCCCTTGATGTATCCAACCTTGTTTGTTTTAGGTATGGTTGGATACAACAAGTTGGAAACTAGAAGAGATCTAGCGCTGGTAATCTACATTTTAAGGGTGTTCCGTGGTTACATCAGCAACCCGGGTGTGCTGCAGTGGATAGGCTTATGCGTGCCTGATAGGTATGTACAGCGGCGACGACGGCCGAGCTTGCTCGCAATGCCACGCGGCAGGACTAAACTGGTTCGCAATACCCCCCTCACGCGAACGATACACATACTAAATTTGGTAGCTGAGAAGTTGGACTTATTTTCGTGTTCACGGAGTGAGTTCGCAAAAGTGACATTATTTACAATATGTTATTCTTAAATTGTATTATACAATTGATTGTAATGTATTGTCATTGAAATTAATTATTATGTATTGTTATTTAAATTAATTATTGTGTTGTAATTAGTAATCTTTTACCATTTGAATTGTTACTTTTTGAATTGAGATGCTACATTTATCGATTTAGGTTTTCCCTGTAATGGTAGATGTTAGTAGGAAATATAAATAAATAAATAAATAAATGTTATGTTATCTTAAAAATGAGTTTTTCAATTGTACAAATCGTTGCCGGCGCTGTGGAAAATTAAAAGTAAGGAATATTCCGACAGTAACAAAAAAATGAAGCTTATCATTTATTAATTGAAAAACTAACTTTCTTATTTGTTGCTTTTTTACAAGTAAACAATAATATAAGGCTCCGTTTAAAAAAACCTCTTCTGGCCACATCGTGACGTGACTAGCTCTCAAAACACTTTGAGGTTTGCACAGTCCAGCTTACACAAACTTACCTGCACGAGCCATTGTACAGTCATGACTGCACAGGCCTGGACTGTGCAGGCAAGACGGAGCGTGTAGCCGGGGCATTACACTTCATTTACACACAAGCACAAGGCTGCCACTCGAGAACATTTATTCCCGATCGATTGTCGTTTGTTCGGTCTATATTATCAGCTACTTCAACTAACTGATCCGTTGAGCTATCTCAGTTGTCTTCGTTCTACAGCGGATAACCTCATTTTAAATTCTATGACTAGCACAATCGAAATGAAACCGGGGTATGGGCAGCAGCATCTTTCTGTTAACAGATTAATTACTAAAAAAAATACGTGGTAGAGCCACGCTTCAGCTGTATTGTAGTTGTAGCACGAATGGGTCGGCTCAATCGAAGCAGAACCACGCTCTCACAGAATACCAGCACAAAATAACACATTTACAGATCATCTCTATCACAATCACAGAGAAAGTGTTTCGAATGGTGAGTGTAGAGAGTCGGAGACCCTTTTACTGGAATCGAGGCATTCCATCTTGGTCCTCACGGGTGGCAATTGAGGATAAATGTGGATGTCTATGGGCCACAGCATCCACTTACCATCAGGTGGAATGTGCGCTCGTTTGTCACCCAAGGCTATAAAAAATGCGGTTGTCAACCCGCCTCTTGGCAACTGTGGCAACATACCCTCCATGAAAAAAGGTATATATAAACATATTATTATATTAAAGTATTCTAGTATTGTTAAATATTAATTTAAAATAAGAGTAGATAATTACTTTACATTTTGTTATTTTAAACTAAATATAGTTTATTTTGATAAATGAACTGTCAATTACGGTAGAAATACCTGCGTTAAGTAGGAAAAGATTTGTATTACATATTTTAATTTTAGCCAGCATTGCACAAAAATTCACATCCTTGACAAGAAAGACAAAAGCAAATTCACATCCTTGTCTATCGCTCACAATATTCACAAAAGACTCGAAATAAGAGTAATGTAAGCTTGAAATGCAATTGAGTGACATTGTTCAGACAAAGAATTTTAATACTGTACACAACTACATTCACAGTTTTCAATATATCTGTTTGAATAAAAAACAGAATATATAATTGTTACAAAAGCTTCGGTCTCGGTTTTATTTCTCTAAGTCTTCAACAAAGAAGCAACTTAAAATGATAATATTGTTGCGCGCCATAATAATTCCTGGTACATGGCGAGTTACCGAACCAGGGGATCGAGTAGCAGAACTAGTAGAGCTTCAGTCGGAACCGGTACGTACTCGAACATTCTAGATGTTTCTTGTAGAAGAAGCCCTATAATATGGCTATAATAGGGCCGGTAGGAAGCGCTACCGAGTCAGTATTGAATCCCGTAGTAGCTACAACACCTACGCTACGTGGATTCAAAGTACCACTGTTCAACGGGACTTCTTCCTGGTCGGCCCACAAAATCCAGTTCGAAACCGTTATTAAGGCGAACGGCTGGAATAAGAGTCAGGCCGTGACTGCTCTCACAATAGGCCTGCACAATAAGGCCTTAACTGTTCTGGAAGCTCTCGGTAAGGAAGTGACTTACGAGCAGCTCCTTAAGACGTTGGAGTCGAAATATGGCGACGCTAACCTGGAACACGTCTTTCGTGCACAGCTTAACGACCGCGTGCAACGCAACAACGAATACCTGCAGCAGTGGGCCCTTGAGGTGGAGAAGCTGGCTCGAAAAGCATACCGGTCTGTACCTGCACTCATTGAAAGGGAATCTGGTGCAGACATTAAGCGACTGCATCTGCGATCTTGCACTCAGAACTGCTGTGAGGATGCATGGGAGGTGGCAGTAGCTACAGTTCGAGACCGCAATAAAGGATACGACCCTAGGTGCCACGGCTGCGGCGAAAGGGGCAATTTTCGATCCAGCTGCCCTAAACGAACTGTAGAAAGGGAAGCTGATCGATCCCGAGAGGGTAGTGTGGCTAACAGCACTGCCCAACAGAGGCAGGATTATCGTTCCCATCGCGTTAGCAAGGGTGGTACAGTTCGCAACTGCAATAAAAGATACAGCCCAAGGTGCTAAGGCTGTGGGGAAAGGGATCATCTTCGATCCAGATGCCCTAAACGAACTATAAAAAGGGAAGGTAATCAATCTCTAGAGGCTAACAGCACCACCCAGTAGCTTTCTGATCGAACATCGCAGTGGGATAATTCATGACAAACAGATGCATTGTCAAGAAGACCTTGTTCTCAAGTTTCCGAGCATTATACTAGGCAAGAGGGTACAGAAGTGGTATCTGTGTGGATGCTCAGGACAGACCACCACAGCAACGAGTGGAAGGACAGCCTACAACATGCACAGCAGGGAGATTCGGACATCAAGCAGATTCTGAAATGGATGAAGGCCAGTGCTCCCAAGCCCAAGTAAAGCGAGTTCTCAGCGATTAGAGCGACTACGAAAAGCTGTTGGGCCCAATGGGATAGCTTGCTGATTCAGAATGGAATTCTGTGCCGTAAATGAGAAAATGGTCGGGGATACAGCTGACATTTGCAAATGGTTGTCCCTAAGGCTAAAGTACCGGAGGTTCTACAGCTGTACCATAATAGTTGTTCAGGAGGCTTTCTGGGAGTTAAACGAACTACACTGAAGATGCGAGAACGGTTCTACTGGGTCCACTGTTGTGACAATGTCTAGGATTGGTGTCGCAAAAATACAAGTTGTGCGGCTGTGAAGGGACCTCAGACTCGTAGTAGAGGTGCATTAAAATTGTACGATGTTGATGCACCATGGGAGAGGATAGCCCTCGAGGTTGCGGGGCCATTTTCGAAAAGTGAAAATAAAGTTGAATTAAAGTTAAATTATTTTCCAAATATACAAATCAGAGCAAAAAAGAAACAAACATACTCAATATACTCTATTTTTCCAGAGGCAAAGACTACGGACGTCCGTCAATTAGGAATGACCTGACAGCTGTAGCTTCTTTCACATCCTTATCAATACATATACGTGGTATATGTATATATGGATGGTATTTACTTTTATATGTGGTAGAGCCACGCTGCAGCTATATTTTGGTTGTAGCATGAATGAGTCGGCTTAACCGGGGAAGGACCACGCTCTCACAGAATACCAGCGAAAAAAATCAGCGTAATGCTGTTGTTTTTCGTATGGCGAGTGTAGAGAACCGGAGACCCTTTTTACTGGAAACCAGGCATTTTATATTAGTCCTCAAGAGCCATCTGCATCTGCCTTTGATTTTCAATTGAAGATAGATCCAGATGTATTTGAAAATAGATATATGGGCCACAGCATCCACTTACTATCAGGTGGACTGTGTGCTCATTTTTCACCAATATTTTATAAAAAAATACATACGTATGCACGATTACGTCTAGGGCGTCCCTTACCGATGCTCCCAATCGTAAATTAACTATGTCACTTTCCCTATTAATTCTTTCTAAGTTTCCAAATCACCGGAGTATTTCTTTCTAAAACTTGATTACAACATTACCTTACAAACTACGCTTTTTTCTTATTACACAATTTCTCACCCTATCATTCAGTCACATCTAACATATTACAAAAACTATAAGTACACACAACAAAACACATAAATGAAGGGATTTTTGAAATCGAGTTATTTTTTTTAATTAACGAAGACAATAATAATAATCATTCAATAATTTCATGACTAGGACTTAACATTTTCACTAGGACCATCACGTTTTATGATCCTAATACTTTTATTTAATTGAAATCATCAACATCAACCATGCTTCAAAATGCTTTCAGAAATGAGAGGGGGCCGGTGCCCTGCTATGGGACGTACGTAAGTTGTTACTTCACTTTTTAATTTTAATAATAACTGCCAAAATGTAAACCGATAGAAAATTCTGAAGAATTCTTGAGATGAAGTGTCTCGTCTCGCTTATCGTACTTTGCCTCAAATGACTTGAAAAAGCGGCCCTAGCCTTGTTAGCGTCAGTAATTTTTCAACACGAGGCTTTAATTCGTATCTTATTACGACAACCATTAATAGCACTAGTACTACTGTTATTTATTTTCATGCGAAAAAGTATCTGAGAAAATTAATGCAAGAACATTTTGAAGTATTTACTTTTATTTTTGAAACGGCACAGAATATTTTGTATATTATAGACCCCTATTATTTTCAAAATATCCAACAAAAGGGAAATTATTAAAAAAGTGTCTCTAAGTTAACATTATTAGAGTTGAAGAAAATTTAAATAACACGCATTGATAATGAGCTGTGATGATTCTCGTAAGAATACAAGGTCATAGTCATGAAATTATTGTTTATGGGGGATTTTGCATTTTTCTGCTGCATCAAATCCCTCTGGATTTGATGCAGCGCTTTGCAGGTGGATTGGCAATCGCAGTTTTTTATAATTTTGAGTTGTTATCAGAAAGGCTCAACTGTTTACTTCCTGTTTTGTTTTCGAAGCGACTGTAGCCTAACGGCGGGGCGCGGATCGCGAACTCAACTCAACTCACACTCAACGCGATTCGGTCGTGGGTTCGAATCCGCCATTCGACTACTGGCGTGAACCACTTGTAACACAAGCAATTTAAGCTTACCACGAGTGATATAGGGGAATATTAGTAATGTTTATTGCATTGTTAATATTCTTTAAAAAGAGAAAAAAAAATTCCCCACATTCGCCTCTAAGACACCCACGGAATTATATGAATATTGTAACATTATATAGTATAGTAACTGTTTAAGAAATATCCGTTAGTGACTGCTAACTTAATCTATCCAAACTCAGGGGTATCAAAGCATTTGCATGATTCTTAATCCATGTCTCTACAAGCTTCAGCATTAACTTACCATCAGATGGACTGTATGAAACGTACGATATATACAAACATAATAATCCAGTCGTTTTCTACTATTGAAATTCTACGATAACAGAATACTGAGGCGTCTGAAACCAGAATTATAAGAATTCATATTAATAACTCCGTAACCAACATACATCATCGTTGGCAATAAATCAACGTTGGTCAACTGTCAGCCGATAAACGAGGCGGGTTTATGAATAAAACACAGATGGACGATCGATTTGTTTTATACACTAGGAAGCAATTAGCGGTGAAAATTCAAATATATAAAATTATATACTAAATTATATAATTTTATGATCTCCTTTAAACACAGATTCGTTTAAAATGTAATAAAGAAATAATTCAAGGGTTTTTAATGCGCATATTATGCTAATCACACTAATTACTGCTCCTATATCGGCATACTCAACTCATAAAATTATAACAACAAATAAACGATGGAACACATCAATTTGTTGTCGCTATGCAGAAGAATGCAAAATAAGGTAAAAAAGTTAGTATTTACTAAAATCATACCTTAAGTACAACTTGGGATATATATTTTGTTATATTTTTAAACGGCCATAAGTGTATTACATAGCATATATCATATCCATTCCATTCACACTATTGGTCATTAACAAGCCAACGTGCCCTGTAAGTGGTTCTTTTCTAGATACATTTATGCACAACATATCATCATCATTATCATCATTACAGCACATCAAAAGCCCACTGCTGAACATAGGCCTCCCCCAAAGTATGCCACAAAACACGGTCCTGAGCCACCTGCGTCCATCGGCTTCCTGCATGTCTTACACCAGGTCGTCACTCCATCTAGTGTAGGGTCGCCCTACACTTCGTCTACCGGTACAAGGCTGCCACTCGAGAACCTTTTTTCCCCAACGGTTGTCGGTTCTTCGAGCTATATAGCCGGCCCATTGCCACTGCAGCTTACTAATCCGTTGGGCTATGTCGATTACTCTGGTTCTACTGCGGATATCCTCATTTCTAAGTTTATCACGCAGAGAAACTCCGAGCATAGCCCTCTCCATAGCTCGCTGAGCGACTTTGAGCGTCCTAATACGGCCATCAGTGAAGGACCACGTCTCAGTTCCATATGTCATCACTGACAACACGCACTGGTTGTACAACTTAGTTTTCAGG